TAGCCCTGAAAAGCCAGGAACACCTCCTTTTTAACCATTTTACTTGGGGGAGGGGTTTTTCTTTCTTCCACTTCATGGTACTATACTCTGGGGAACTTGCCCATGGCTGTTCTGAAGATGAAACAAAGGGCTGTAATCCATGCAATATTTTCTTCTAATCTGTGGAATTTTGCGTGCAAATGCCCAAGCCATACAGAGAGACTATACATTTGAGAGAAAATTAGGCAGTGACCCTGATGCAAAGCAAAATTTCCCTCCTTGTCTTTTCAATGCAAGGTTTTTAAACAGTAATGCTGAGGCTGGAATGGTGAATTCATCTGGTGCTCATCTTTGGCCAGTTAAGGCCATTGTATTCTAACGACCAAACCAAACTAAGAAGAGTGTGTCTTTTCCCAAGAATATGGCAGTGGTCAAAAAGTGATCAAAAGTGATCAAAAAGCCAACGTCGAGCAGTAACCAGCAGCAGCCACCTGTGCCTCCTGGGCAGGATCTCTGACATTCAGAGATCTCAAAAGAGATGATTGAGCAGTGTAAAAACGGTTTGAGCTCTGTTTGTGGTTCACTGAGGTGTTTCCTGTGTTGTCATGCCTGAGAGATCATCCTTGCAACAGAAATGCAGTCAGCTGAAAGCACAACAGCACACACACCCGGGGTAGATTACTTCACACGTGAACATGGGGCTTTTGCGCTTCATTAATATATGCACGCAAGGTGGATCTTTATCTTTCAGACGGGAAATATATCCTGCCATATCTGTCGCAGACTCAAGCACCAGGGAGCAAGAAACAATCACTTACAACTATCCTTTTTGGTATTTATCATGTGATGATTCTCTTCCCTGCACCCACAGGCAGACCAGAGAGGCAACTTTACCAAATGGCATCACACCTACAAACCTCACAGCTGATTCAATAACTTTTGAGAGGCAGCCAAACATTAGCATTACAGGATCCAACCCAAGCTATTAAGAGTTATTTTCATTTAATTGCACCTTTCATCCCAAAGGATCCTCAAAGCAATTTATATCTCCATCACCCATTTCTCAAATTCTCCAACAAGCGCCTCCATGGTTTTTCCTATGCTGCCCCTTATGCTTGGGAGGAACACCTCACAAAATTCCACTAAATTACCACATTGTCCTCCTTAAAACCGTCGTCTGCCATGATACCTACCAAAAAAACCCCTCTGAACAATGGATAAGCAGCTGGTGTGCTGTGATTGCTGCTTCTCATGCTGATCAGTATCAGCTCATTATAACTTTGTGCTCTCCATGTCTAACTGCTTTATAAACCTGGTGTCTCTCATCTTCTACTATTGCAAGCTCTTTGGGGCAGGGACTGTCTCTTTGTTATAACTCTGTTGAATGCCTAACACAAAGGAACCAGAGCCTGTAGACTTTATAAAAATAATAAATCTATTCACATAAACACAGCACAACTAAGATGCAGCCAGCAAGTGATATCCAGCACTTTGCACAACAATGGCCAAGGACAACAGGGCCCAGCTTTTCAAAGGATGCCATACTTTAGGAATTTCAAGGCCCATGCAGAGCAGACAGGATCTCAGGCATGAAGCTTTCATCAAAAAGACCCTACAGAATCAACTGCATGGAACTGGATAGATCTTCCTCCGAAGGATAAAGGGATGAGTCAATCCACACGGCATTTCAATTTGGGATTCAAGTGTGGGTCCTCTATTTTATGCCTAAAGCTTAAAACAGGCTCCAAGTATTTGCCATGACATGTCTTTGGACCACAGAGTCTCTTTTAGCTACACCCCTAGCTATGATCTACAGACAAGTCTTGATTCTTCAGAGTAGTATAACTTTTGGGGGAACCCTCACTCAAACTTGGGGCAGGATTCCAAACACCTGGTGCACTATATCCACAAGCAGCCTGCCAGCCAGCAACAGTGAACCAGCTATTTGCTTACCCAGAAGTTGCAGTAGAGGAGAGAAAGGGAGGAAGTGAGTTGTGTTGTTAGTTCTAGTCAGCTTGCCCTGATCCAGCAGACGAGACTCATGCTGGTGCCAAAACAACTGTAAGGGCAGGGGATAGGGAAAGAAACAGCAAGTGCTAGAAGGTGGCACCTTTAGTCCTGCTGCCTGTAATACCATCGAGACCAGGCTGCAGTGTCATGGGGAAACAGGCAGAGAGAGGAGTGGCAAAGTGGGCCATGTATGAGAAAGAGCACAGCTCTGGGGAAGAAAGATGAATTTGTGGTTAGGGCACTTGTCTGATACTTAAAAGACCTGGGTTTGATCTCCAGCAATGCTGAAGGCTCCCTGGGTAAGGTGCTAAATTTCTCTGTGCCTCCATTTGCTAGCTGTAAAATGAAAATAATGCTTCCCTCCTCTACAAGAACTTTAGGAGAACACCTCGTCAACGTTTGTGAAGTGCTCAGATACTCTGGTGTTGGTAAGGAGATACTCATTTGACCAAAAAATTCATGCAAGAGGCACAAAAGTAAGACAGTCGAGTGCTATTTTGGGAAGACGAGATGTTGCTAATATGGGTGAGCACATTAGAGTAGGCTATGTCAACACTACAGCCTATGTTGTCATAATTTATGATGCTCGAGGTGTGAATAACCCCCCCCCCCGAGGAACATAAGTTACACTGACTTAAGCAGTCATGCGCACAGCACTATGTCAGTGGGAGAGCTTTTCCCACCGACATAGCTTCTGCCGTTGGCAATGGTGGTTTTATTATGCCGACAGGAGAGCTCTCTCCCATCGGCATTGAGTGTCTTCACCAGACGCCCTGCAGTGGCGCAGCTGCATCGGCACAGCTGTTGTGCTGTAGGTGTAGACATGGCCTAAGTCTAAGAATAATCTTGGTTGCTAATAGATGGCAAGAAATAGTTGGAGTACTTCCTGTGACATTAAATGTCACACACAGTCAAAGAAACCTCATCGATTGTTAGTCAGTCATTTAAAAAGTAACTTCCTCTTTTTCTTGAAGATATGCAAGTTGATAAATTATTAATTATTTATTATTAATTATTATTATTATTATTATTATATTGTTCCGTCTTGGGTTCCTCAGTAGTCATGTTTGTTGCATGGACCCTGGTCTGAGAATGGAAGGCATCACCTGATAACACAGACTTTGCTAACAAAAATCAACTGTGCACACCAAGGCTAAATTCCTTTCTCTGAGAAATTACTCTGGATTTACACTGGTATAGCAGGTTTCAGAGTAACAGCCATGTTAGTCTGTATTCGAAAAAAGAAAAGGAGACTCGTGGCACCTTAGAGACTAACCAATTTATCTGAGCATGAGCTTTCGTGAGCTACAGCTCACTTCATCGGATGCATATTCATCGGATGCAGATTCATCTGGTATAGCAGACAGCAGAATCTAGCCCCAGAAATCTGTCAAGATGACTAACATCTGGCAATCCTGATAATCTATAACGTGAGCATGGTTTTTTTTTTAGTTTCCTATGTAGAGCAGGACGGCTTAGGTGGTTTAGTGATCTGACACAATTAAAGTGAGATACTTGTGATCCAAAAAACACAGCTACAAACCACCATACTGAAAGCAACGGATGACTAGGAGGGCCAAGCTATGCAATATCCTCTTCCTTGCCACAGTATAAATGTTCATCTCTAGATGCCACCTCCCGCCCCCAAGCCCCAGCAAATACACAGAAGCAAGCACAAAGGTTTCAGTTTGCCTCTCACTGCTCGTTCCTGATCCCTTCAGAAATTTCCTGCAAAATCCATTCACTTCTTTTCACTCAGGACTTGACTAGCACCAGAGCGGGAGTTAACTTGTTTCCCCTTATTTCAAACCCACTCAAACGTCATGGCTTTGAAAGTTCGACTCATCTTGCACATCTTGTTTTGAACACGTCTCATGGCTGAAAAGTGGCCGTGAGTTTAAATGATAGGAGGAGAAAAAAAGGTCTGCAAACTCTGGCTGGTCTAGTGATGAACCAAAAATACAGTCTGCAAAATCACATATTCCACAAAGTTCACATCCATAATTTCCACCCTCAATTCAAACTGCAGCCTCTTCTGTCTGCTCTCTTTCAGTGGAACCAGGGGAACACTATGACTAGGGGAATACCTTTTATGATGATCCGTTTACTGTTTGGGTGTTCACCTCTGCTACTCCCTTGCTCCTGTTATTTTCTCTTCTGACTATTGTGCATCCCATCCGATTTCCCCTGGAGCATTCCCGCTATTCCTATACACCCAAATCACTGTGTCTGTGCAGCATCTCTCTGCTAAAATTCTCTAATTCAAAGCTGCCATTATTACTAAACCATGAGCAACTGGGGGCTGGGGGGGGGGGGCAGCTGTGGTTTGTTGTTGCAGTCAGGAGGCGTTTGCTCCCCTGGCTCCCCCAGATTGCAGCACTTCCTTCCAACCACTAATTCTAGTTTATCACATTTTCCGTGCGGAGTGAAAAGGAAAAAAAAAAAATTAGGCTTTTTTGACTGCCTAGTGTGTGCCCTAGAATAAACAAGGAGGCAGTGAATATTGCAGGTACCCGAAGCATTCTGGGATAGATCATCTTGTAATCGCGTCTGCAGGGCTAATCCGGGCCCTGTCTCTCCCTCTGCCCCAGGGGGACGGCAGCACCTGCCTCTTGTGCTTTGCAGGGGGGAGCCCAAACCCCCCCCCCCTCCCCAGACGGTGGCATTAAAAATAAAACCAACCCAGGCCAGCAAGGCCAGGGGCGGGGGCCGCCGGGCATCCCAAGCACAGCCCAGGGCAGGGAGGTCTCGGTGGCAGGGGGCGGCAGCCAAGCCTCTGCCAGCAGCCCCGCCAGCGGGCAGCCTGCTCCGGGCCGGCGCGGCCGGGGGAGAGCGGGGCGCCTCGCTGCTCCTGCCCGGGGGTCGCCCCGCTCCGAAGCCGGCTCCCGCGGGGCGCTGCCCGGAGCCCGCACAGCCCGGGCAGGGCGCAGAGACGCGGGTTCCCGCGCGGGGCCCGGCCCCGGGGCCCTCCGCCCGCATCCCCCCGGCTTCGCCCCGCTCCGCCCGCTTACCGGCCGCGGGGAGGGATGCTCGGGAGCCGCCGCCTCTCGCTGCCGCCCGTCTCGCTGTCACACACACAAAGCGCAGGAAACGGCTTGTTGCAGCCAGTGCACTTCCTGAGCTCCCCGCTGCGCGCCCCGCCGCCGGGACCGGCCCCCGCCCGCCGCGCCGGGGATGCAGCCTCCGGCCCCCGCCCGCCCGCCCGCACCGGGGATGCAGCCTCCGGCCCCCGCCCGCCCGCCCGCCGCGCCGGGGATGCAGCCTCCGGCCCCCGCCCGCCCGCACCGGGGATGCAGCCTCCGGCCCCCGCCCGCCCGCCGCACCGGGGATGCAGCCTCCGGCCCCCGCCCGCCCGCCGCGCCGGGGATGCAGCCTCCGGCCCCCGCCGCACCGGGGATGCAGCCTCCGGCCCCCGCCCGCCGCACCGCACCGGGGATGCAGCCTCCGGCCCCCGCCCGCCGCACCGCACCGGGGATGCAGCCTCCGGCCCCCGCCCGCCCGCCCGCCGCACCTGGGATGCTCCGGCCTCCGCCCGCCCGCCGGGGATGCAGCCTCCGGCCCCCGCCGCACCTGGGATGCTCCGGCCTCCGCCCGCCCGCCGGGGATGCAGCCTCCGGCCCCCACCGCGCTCGGGGGTTGACAGGCTGGTGCAGCCCGCACAAAGCGCACCCCTGCACAGACAGCACCCCCCACCTCCCCCAGCGCGCCCCCTCTACCCTCCCCCGAGCACCCCTGCACAGACAGCACCCCCCACCTCCCCCAGCGCCCCCTCTCTACTCACCCCCCACCGCGCACCCCTGCACAGACAGCACCCCCCACCTCCCCCAGCGCCCCCCTCTCTACTCCCCCCACCGCGCACCCCTGCACAGACAGCACCCCCCACCTCCCCCAGCGCCCCCCTCTCTACTCCCCCCACCGCGCACCCCTGCACAGACAGCACCCCCCACCTCCCCCAGCGCCCCCCTCTCTACTCCCCCCCACCGCGCACCCCTGCACAGACAGCACCCCCCACCTCCCCCAGCGCCACCCTCTCTACTCCCCCCCACCGCGCACCCCTGCACAGACAGCACCCCCCACCTCCCCCAGCGCCCCCTCTCTACTCACCCCCCACCGCGCACCCCTGCACAGACAGCACCCCCCACCTCCCCCAGCGCCCCCTCTCTACTCCCCCCACCGCGCACCCCTGCACAGACAGCACCCCCCACCTCCCCCAGCGCCACCCTCTCTACTCCCCCCACCGCGCACCCCTGCACAGACAGCACCCCCCACCTCCCCCAGCGCCCCCCTCTCTACTCACCCCCCACCGCGCACCCCTGCACAGACAGCACCCCCCACCTCCCCCAGCGCCCCCTCTCTACTCCCCCCACCGCGCACCCCTGCACAGACAGCACCCCCCACTTCCCCCAGCGCCCGCCTCTCTACTCACCCCCCACCGCGCACCCCTGCACAGACAGCACCCCCCCACCTCCCCCAGCGCCCCCCTCTCTACTCCCCCCACCGCGCACCCCTGCACAGACAGCACCCCCCACCTCCCCCCAGCGCCCCCTCTCTACTCCCCCCACCGCGCACCCCTGCACAGACAGCACCCCCCACCTCCCCCAGCGCCCCCTCTCTACTCCCCCCCACCGCGCACCCCTGCACAGACAGCACCCCCCACCTCCCCCAGCGCCACCCTCTCTACTCCCCCCCACCGCGCACCCCTGCACAGACAGCACCCCCCACCTCCCCCAGCGCCCCCCTCTCTACTCCCCCCACCGCGCACCCCTGCACAGACAGCACCCCCCACCTCCCCCAGCGCCACCCTCTCTACTCCCCCCACCGCGCACCCCTGCACAGACAGCACCCCCCACCTCCCCCAGCGCCCCCCTCTCTACTCACCCCCCACCGCGCACCCCTGCACAGACAGCACCCCCCACCTCCCCCAGCGCCCCCTCTCTACTCCCCCCACCGCGCACCCCTGCACAGACAGCACCCCCCACTTCCCCCAGCGCCCGCCTCTCTACTCACCCCCCACCGCGCACCCCTGCACAGACAGCACCCCCCCACCTCCCCCAGCGTGCCCCCTCTCTACTCCCCCCACCGCGCACCCCTGCACAGACAGCACCCCCCACCTCCCCCAGCGCCCCCTCTCTACTCCCCCCACCGCGCACCCCTGCACAGACAGCACCCCCCACCTCCCCCAGCGCCCCCTCTCTACTCCCCCCACCGCGCACCCCCTGCACAGACAGCACCCCCCACCTCCCCCAGCGCCCCCTCTCTACTCCCCCCACCGCGCACCCCTGCACAGACAGCACCCCCCACCTCCCCCAGCGCCCCCCTCTCTACTCCCCCCCACCGCGCACCCCTGCACAGACAGCACCCCCCACCTCCCCCAGCGCCCCCTCTCTACTCCCCCCACCGCGCACCCCTGCACAGACAGCACCCCCCCACCTCCCCCAGCGCCCCCCTCTCTACTCCCCCCACCGCGCACCCCTGCACAGACAGCACCCCCCACTTCCCCCAGCGCCCGCCTCTCTACTCACCCCCCACCGCGCACCCCTGCACAGACAGCACCCCCCACCTCCCCCAGCGCCACCCTCTCTACTCCCCCCCACCGCGCACCCCTGCACAGACAGCACCCCCCACTTCCCCCAGCGCCCGCCTCTCTACTCACCCCCCACCGCACACCCCTGCACAGACAGCACCCCCCCACCTCCCCCAGCGCCCCCTCTACCCTCCCCCAAGCACCCCTGCACAGACAGCACCCCCCACCTCCCCCAGCGCCCCCTCTCTACTCCCCCCACCACGCACCCCTGCACAGACAGCACCCCCCACCTCCCCCAGCGCCCCCCTCTCTACTCCCCCCACCGCGCACCCCTGCACAGACAGCACCCCCCACCTCCCCCAGTGCGCCCCCCATAGCCTCTGCACAGCACCCACCCACACCCTCCCCCAGCACCCCCACACACCCTCCCACCAGCACCCACACACCCCAGCACACACCCACCCACACACCCCAGCACACACCCACACCTTCCCCCCAGCACTGACCCCCACCCTCCCCCCAGCATCCTCACAGACCCTCCCACCAGCACCCTCACACCCCAGCACATACCCACACCCTCCCACCCACACCTTCCCCCAGCACCCACACTGCACCCACACATACCCTCCCACCCGCACACACACACACCCCCAGCACACACACACACACACACCCCAGCACACCGTTTTCATTTATAAATGCAAGGTCCTGTCCTCCCCTCAGGAGGAGCAAGAACAGAGCAACTCCTTCCTCTGCGGTAAAATGGAATCGGAAGAGGGGCGAGGGGACAAGCAGGTTATTGGGGGCGAGACTGTCCCCACCCTATCCGTGAGCAGGTCGGATCAGCTTCCTTGCAACCTGGTCACCTTTCACAGGACCCCCTTGTCATAGCACCCTGGGGCCCTGCTGCCTGACAGTTCACTTACATACTCCAGGAGGCCCCAGTCAGGCTGCAAGGAGGTTACTAGTGGAGTTCCTCAGGGATCAGTCTTGGGAGAAATCTTATTTAACATTTTTATTACTGACCTTGCCACAAAAAGTGGGAGTGTGCTAATAAAATTTGTGGGTGACAAAAAGTTGGGAGGTATTGCCAATATGGAGGAGGACTGAAATATCATACAGGAAGACCCTGTAAAATGGAGTAATAGAAATAGGATAAAATTTAATAGTGCAAAGTGAAAGGTCATTTATTTAAGGACTAACAAGAATTTTTGCTATAAGCTGGGGACATATCAGTTGGAAGTGACAGAGGAGGAGAACTATCTGGATGTATTGGTTAATTTCAAGATGACTATGAGCCGGCAATGTAATGCGGCTGTGAAAAAGGCTAACCCAGTTCTAGGATGGGTCAGGTGAGATATTTCCAATAAAAACAAGGAAGTGTTAGTACCATTATGCAAGTTACTGGGAAGACCTCATCTGGAATACTGTGTGCAGTTCTGCTCTTCTGTGTTTAAGATGAATTCAACCTGGAACAGGTGCAGAGAAGGGCTACTAGGATGATCCGAGGAATGGAAAACCTACCTTATGACAGCAGACTCAAATAGCTCTGCTTGTTTAGCCTAACCAAAAGAAGGCTGAGAAGAGATATAATTGCTCTCTATAAATACATCAGAGGGATAAATACCAGGGAGGGAAAGGAGATATTTAAGTTAAGTGCCAACATGGACACGAACAAATGGATATAAACTAGCCATCAACAAGTCTAGGCTTGAAATTAGGCAAAGGTTTCTAACCACCAGAAGAGTGACGTTCGGCAACAGCCTTCTAAGGGGAGCAGTGGAGGCAAAAACCTAACTGGCTTCAAGACTGAGCTTGATAAGTTTATGGAGGGGATGGAATGAGGAGACTGCCTACAATGGCATGTAGCCCATCTGCGACTGCTATCAGCAAATATCCCCAATGGCCAGTGATGGGACTAGAGAGGGAGGGCTCTGAGTTACTGTAAAGAATTCTTTCCCAGGGGTCTCGCTGGTGGGTGTTTCTCACATGCTCAGGGCCTAACTGATCGGCATATCTGGGGTTGGGAAGGAATTTTCCCCCACGTCAGATTGGCAGAGACCCTGGGTGTTTTTCGCCTTCCTCTGCAGCATGGGGGCATGGGTCACCTGCAGGTTTAAACTAGTGTAAATGCTGGATTCTCTGTAACTTGAAGCCTTTAAGTGAAGATTTGAAGACTTCAGTAACTCAGCCAGAGGTTAGGGGTGTAGTACAAGAGTGGGTGGGCGAGGTTCTGTGGCCTGCAGTGTGCAGGAGGTCAGACTAGATGGTCATGATGGTGCCTTCTGGCCTTAGAGTCTATGAATCTGCACTGCGCACTAAGCTTGGGCCTGTGGGCTTGTGGACGCAGTGTTGGCAAGCCTGCTCTTGAGCACCCACACTGTAGTGTAAACCTGGGTTCACAGTTGCTGCCCCCAGTTTCTCAGCTGTGTTAATACATCCACACTGCACTGTGTAGAACTTCTGACTCAGGTCGGAAACTTGACTTGTGTCCACTCTGCAAAATGACAGAGTTTGTACCCAAGTTGCTCCGGGACTCAGCCTCTGACCCACCCAACTAACCGGGTCCTAGCATCCAGGTCCTGAGTGCTTGCTAACCTGCGTCAAGCTGATTTGTGTGTGTACGGAACAAGGGCTTGGGCTCAGACCCAAGTCAGAGTCTGGGCTTAGTGAGCAGTGCAGACATACCCGTAGTGTTATTGTGATGTGAAGAACTATAGCATCAATTAATAATAACTGGGGACACAGTAGCTGAAATATTTGAGAAAGAATGTACTGGTTTTTTTAACAAGGCACCAGTTAAAAAGGAAAGGGTCTTTTAGTTGTATTTATTTGTATTGCAGTAGAGCCTTGGAGCTCCTGTCATGGACCAGGACCCCATGGTGCTGGTTACGAGACACAGAACAGAAAGACTGATTTGTTTCAGAGGCTAAGCACCGAGGATGCCCTGGTTATATGTGTTTCCTATTCCAACTTTTGGCACTTTTCTATTTTTATGTGCTCCATCGTTATCCTGTTAATGGCAGTGCTGATAGGAAAATCTCACTGAAAAATGGAAAAAACGGTCAGTGAACATTCCTATGGATTTTCCCCCATGTATTGACCCACTCTAACAATAATCACAGTGCTACTTTATTTCTTATTTGTATTTCCACAGTCATGAATCAGGATCCCACTGAGCTAGGTGCTGCACAGAAACAGAACAAAAAGACGGTCCCTGTCCCAAGGGGTTTATAATCTAAGTATAAGACAAAAGACAGCAGATGGATACAGATAGAGAAAGGGGGAGTGCAAGGAAACAATAAGACAATATTGAGCAGCGCGATAGACAGCCTTCTCTGCACACCAGCAATTTAGCCATTGTAACATGCTGGTAATTTTATGGCCACATTTTTATTTACTGCTTTTAACGTCTTAAATCACTGAGGAATAGACTGTTTTCCTTCTGGGGATCTCTTTGCACAATGGGAAGAATCCAAGTGATGAGCAGGCCACATACATGTGTGTATGTACCATCGGGTGTGTTGAGAGACAGCAACAGTGAGAGAAAGAGAGAAAGGTCATGACACTGTGGTGAGATGAAGAGACTATGAGTATATCTACACAGCAAAAGCTGTGCACGGTCTAGCCTATCCAAACTAGCTTGAATCCAGATGGCGTGCGGATAATAATTGCAGTGAAGTCAGCACAGCGTGGGCTTCAGAACGAGCTAGCAAGCAGAGTACATACCCAGGGTCTGTTCCAGGTTTATACTACCTGTGCTGAGAAAGTTCAGGGTAGATTTGATCACAGACAGTGGGTGCTGGAACATTTTTAACAGTGGGGGTACTGAAAGCCAGCCCTCTTACCCCTGTCTGCGCCCCGCCCCCCAGAGCTGGGGCCAGGAGCAGGGCTGTGTCTCTGAGAGGGGGGACCTGGACAAGGGTATGGGGGCCAAAGCCAGGGCCAAAGATGGGGGCGGGACTGGGGCCAGGAGCAGAGAGCAGCCGGGACCCCGGGTGTGGGGCTGGAAGCGGAGCCCTGAGTAAAACCTGGGAGTGCTGCAGCACCCCCCACACCTCTAGTTCCCATGCCTATGATCACAGATCCCACAGGCAGAACAGAAATGTAATAATAGAGGGCTCTTCAGTATAACAAGGTCCAATGATTAGAAGTTGAAGCTAGACAACTTAGTGCAAGAAATAAGGTGCAAGTTTTTAACAGTGTGGGTATTTATCTACTGGAACAATTTTCCCAGGGTGGTTGTGGATCCTCCCTCGTTGGAAATGTTTAAATGAAATGTGGATGTTGTTCTAAAAGATCTGCTCTAGTTCCATCACAGCCAGTGGACTTGAAACAACAATAAATTAGGGAAGTTTTTTGGCCTGTGTTACACAGGAGGCCAGACTAGATGATCACAGTGGTCCCCTCTGGTCTTAAAATCTATGGATCTCTGATCCTCAGAGTATTACAAAAGGGAAAACTGAATAAAGCATCCTTTAAAAAATACCTGTGTTGGGTAAGGAGCTGATCTGAGGCTGATTCTTCATCTGAAAGCTGATCACACCATTGGAACACTGGCTACGGAAAAGCTAATCCGGAGGTGATAAAAATCTTTCAGAGACAATGCCATGAAGTCAAGCATCCATGATGTTTGGGAATCCACTTGTGAACTTGGAGTTTGCAGTGCTGGTTGGCATGTATTTCTAGCAGCTGTCACTGAGAGAGCCTCATGGGAAGATAAACAGAGAGGGCAGAAATGGAAGAGACTGTATTTCGTCTCATACAGAGTCAGTGCCACAGACACACAACATTGCTCCACCTCATGTAGTGCCATGGAGAATCCCGCAGATGTGGTCTGACTCTCAGAGGTCGTGCGATTGTCTCCCCAGAGCTAATAAGCAGCTAAAACAGGGAGGCTTAAAGCTGGGTGAGCAAGAGGAGAGGTTATGCTACTAAGGGGACCAGATGAAGCCAGCTCACCGGTTTCCCAGTGCTCCTAAAGCTGTTTTAGTGAAACAGGCAAACAAAGGCAATTGTGTCTCTCACCGGTGATGAAAAACAGGCAGAAGTGGGTGTGCACACTGAATATCCATCTGCCTTCAGGATCCTCAGGCAGATGTTGCAGAGACACAGTGGAAATGTTATAAATGTTATAAATGTGCTGGAAATAATCACTCCACAGAAGGGTTCCTGTATCTCATGGGAGTGGCTGCAAGTGCAGTCCAGTTACAGGCCCGCCAGTATTCTCACCTCTTCTTTGCTGGGGGTTTCTATCACTGGACCATATAAAGTTGCACCAGACTAAAACTGGTCAGACAAGGAGCCAGCATAGGAAAGAATTATGTAAATAATATGCACTTACTGGCATCTGGCAGTTTCCCTCTGAGGATCTCAAAGCACTGTATAAATATGAGTAAGCAAACACCCTCTTTGAGGCATGTAAATAGTATTACCCCCATTTTAAAGATAAGGAAGCTAAGGCCCAGTACGGCTGAGGCTAAAATATTTAGCACTGGATGACTAAAGATAGGCACCTAAATCCATAGGCAGGCACTTCACTAGGTAGCCTGATTTCCAGCAGTGTTGAGCACTCCCTACCCCTATCAAAGTCCGGGGTACCCAGCGCACCTGTGATGGGAAGTCCACCCCACACTGACAGCAAAAGGGTTAATGGGAACCTGAAGGCTCTGTTAGCTCACTGGGTTACCCCTGGAGGGAGTGGAGAATCGGTTGGTTATCAGATCCGGCTGGGTCACAAAGAGCTGTGCCCAGCGGGAGAGACCCAGCAGAGAAGCAGGACACGTCGCGGACAGTAAGTTTTGCGAGCCTCTCCTAGGGAAGGGAACTCTGATAGAAGGCCGGGAAAGGGGTGGTGTGAGCACCTGCTTGAACCTCGATAAAAGGGCAGGAACTGACCTTTAGGGAGAAAACCCTGGGAGCTGTTGCTCACTACAGGAGCTGAAACGTGTCCAGAGGACCTGGAAAGGGGCTTTGGAAAAAGGCAGGGCAAGACAGGAAGAAGTCTGGAGGCTGAGTGTCACTATCAGACCCTAGAGTAGAGCGGTGGTCTGGGTTCCTCTACCAGCTACAGAGGAAGGTGGAGTGAAACCTGATTCAAGGTGTTAATACTATTGAAAACCCTGGAACGAGGGGTGGAAGGACCACTGGGCCTAGACTTAGAGGCAGGAGACTTGGGGTAGGGTCACTGGGCTTTTGACCGTGCGACTGAATGTGACCTTCCCGGCGGGCCAAGTCACGAGAAGAAGCGGACCACCACAGGGCCAAGAGCGGCTGCCAGCAGGGGGCACCAGAGCAGGATAGCCTGCTCCATCAGGCCTCGCCACAAGGGGGCGAGTCACTCTTCTGCAGCTCCCATCTGAGCACAGAATTTGTTATATGACCACTTTATTGACTGTAAAAAATATATACTCTGTACACAAAGAATTCCTATTCAAGAAGATCTGAACATTACATTTAACAGTATTATTTAGTGCAATAGATTGTAACTAATAAATATTTCCTTTACCTCATCCAAGAATAAATACTGTCTTAAAGGCATTACCCAGAGGGGCAATATTACAGTTACAAACACATTAGCACCCTGCTCAGGACTTGGGGGGCCCCACACTGTGATGGTCCCTTCCATGCGGGACTAATGTGCAAGGAGTTTACCTTTGAACACCCTGCCACAATTACAGTCCTCGTGCTCGGGGAAGAACCGCTTCGGTGCCCCACTGTGGGTAAAGGGTTGGGGAGGGGAGGAGACAGGGTCATGGCCAAGTACCCCCCACGCCAGTCACAAATGATGCAGTCCCATGTGCCCTGGGCTGCTTACAATTCCCCCGTGAGCTCCCCAAGGTGCAGTTCCACATGGCATCCTATTCAGGGCAGTGACTATAGGGCAGATTTGGTACCACAGGAACATGGCAGTGGGTGAACTGAAACTAGCGGGGAGGACCAAAGAGAAATCGGATGGAATTCAAGACAGTGCATAATTCTATTTGTGGCTGTTCATGTCCCAAGTTTTGGTTCAGACTATCAAACAGACAGGGACAGTAGTGGAGTTTGGATCTGGAGCCAAACACCCCCACCTTTTGGTGGCGTTCGGATCCAAGGTGCTGGGTCAGACCCGTCTCTGGTTTGTATATGAGGATGGCCTGCCTGGGAAAACGTTTCATGATGAAGTTTCACGTGTGTATAGCTAAGAAATTAATGCAGAACAAAATCAAACGCGGGAGATGAATAAGCTAGGAGCAGTGCCTAGAATACATCTGTACAGGACCTAGTGGCTAATAAAGAACTGAACAGAGTAACATTAAAAATAGATATATATATATACACATTATATCCTGCTCCTTCAAGACCCTTCCTGTTATTCCTAATGCTTAGCAAAAACTCCCAGATTGTATTTAGCAATCCTGGGGATTAACAAAAGCTTCTTCTAATACTCCTACACCGTGACTAACACAATATGAAATACCCGGTCCATCCAATTCAAGTAGGAGCTTGGGTTATAAAATACAGGCCAACGTTTTCCACACTACTAGGCAAATCATAGTGTCGGTGGCTGTATATGCTGTATGGGACAGAGTCTGGTCTCAGTTACACCTGTTTAAATCCACTGATTTTAAAAGTGTCCAGAAGGCTCAATAATTCTGTCCACAGAAGAGGTAAAGAGGTCTTTGTTTTGGGTGGATCCGTTGCTTTTCTGAGTGGGGAGGAGGGCAGGTCTCTCATTTTATTATCACAAGTGCACTGAGCACCTGAACGTCTCTGCAGCGTTTCATCTCTCTGCGTGTGCCTCCCTGCCTCCTCCACTGAACCTTGTCACCCAGCTGAGAACATGTATCACTGGTGACTGTTGCATTCCCACCCAGCGCTTTCTCTCTTGCTGTCCACCTCTTGTCAGAAAACACACCCGTTCCTGTGTAGCTCTAGAAAGGAGCCTTTCACCTTGGATGACGAGACTCTGAGCTCCCTCCCCTCGCCTGCCCCAGACGTGATCCGCCTAGTACGTTGCCAAGTTGTCCCTTGGTGTTCAAGCTGAAAGAGATCTTTGGAGGCCATTTTTTTCTTCTTATGTAGAAGTCTTGATGAGAGTTTTGACACACACATTCTTCAGCTTTGTTTTTCCCCACAAACATCCCCATCTGCACCAGAAAGTCTGCATGTGTAGTTTTATTTGTATTTCCCCCCCACTAACAATATAACATATTTAAGAGACCTTGCAGTTTCTTTCACAGTTTTCTCAGGTATTATGTTCCTATTACTTGGACACTCCCTTCTACTTTACACTCTCCAGTATCCTACATCCCATACTCCAGAGCTGCAGAGTGAATCATGCTAAGAGACGACAACACTGTCTTAACCCTTTAACGTACAGGATGCAATGGCTAAGCCCAGCCAGAACACCTGTCAGATCTGTGTGTCCTGGTCCCAGTTAATCCATCCATCCCTTTCCGCTCCAGACTGACTGTAACACAGGCAAGTTCAGAAGCATCTGAATGGTTCTTAGAGAGACAAGGTGGGTAAGGTAATATCTTACATAGAGCTCTCCTTGTCAGTGATGGAAACACTTTTCTCAGGGCAGGTGAAAGTTTCCTTTCATTTGGGTGCTTCCAGGGTTAAAATCACAATGCCAGATACCTGAGCTCTGAGGCGACACACTGATCCTTATTATCCTCATGAGAAATTGGCCTGTTGGGTTGGCTGGCTCTGGGATCTTCGCTAAACCACTGGGCTGGTTTGTGAGAGTCTTAAACCAAATGGCTGTCTCCATCTTCTCAACATGGAGCTCGTTAAAAGGATTGGTCTGGCTGGAAGTTCAGGTCTCTGCCCCAATCTAGCTAGTACCATTATCTCTGGTAGGAAGGATTTTGTTAATGCTTTGGGTAGGAGTCTGCCCACTCCAGCTTCTTGGTCGGCTTCACTCAGTGAGCCGGTGTCCTGATTAAAGATCAAATTCAGAGATCTCACTCAGCTGATAGAGCAGGGTAGAGAAGGGGGGTCGGTCTTCTTTCCTCTGAGGGAGAAAGAAAAAGAACAGAATTAAACTCCAACTTGAAAAGGGTTACGGGGGTAAGAGAGAGAACCTTGTAATGAGCCAGAGGCTGAATGGTAACAAAGGTAGAATCAATTCTTAAAGGGGAAAAATAAAAGTGAAAATGTGACTGAAATCACCATAGGAAGTGATGTGACCTCGTGTGTACAGGGCTCCTCTCCCTCTGATTTACATCTCCTTTCTGCCAGCAGAGAAGTTGGCCCAATAACAGCCGACTTGCTTACAAATCACTGGCTTTGACTTCTGCCCTCTAAAGTGGGACTCAGCCCCCACAGGGTGTGTTCTTAACTGGAGTTAGATAGAATGAGTTAAAATCCTAGTGAAGACAAGGCAGCTTGCAGTTGTCACATGAGTTAGTAGGTCAAGGTAAAGACCATGGTGGAGCCTAGGGTTTACCGTGACCTGTTAACTTGTGTGAAAACTACACACTGCTTAGTCCCTATGATTTTGCCTCATGTTAGCTAACTTGAGTTAAGAACACACCATTTTTCCTAGTGAAGACAAGGGGGAAGGGATCATAATATCTTGCCTGTGTATGCTACAGTACTAACCGCATTCCAACAGCTGCTCATGAGCTCATAGATGGCCTTGGAGGCCAGCTTGGGTTTATATAGCCGGAGGCCTGCATTGATTTCTTCCACCACCTCTGCGTTGGTCCGGCTTTCGTACGGGATTTTGCCTTCACTGAAGACCTCCCACATCAACACTCCTGAAACAAACAAATATGGAAATGATAGGAAAGGAGCAACAGTGACCTGTCTAAAACATCCCTCCCCAACAGCTGGTTTGAAGGGTCCTCAGCACTCCAATCAACCCCCCCACAGCCCACCATTTTTATCGGCTTTAAATCCCCATCCCTGAAGAGCCCAGGCTGTGGCCACCATTCTTCCAGCTCAGGAGCACTGGATCGGACTCCCCTCCAGATCACACCTACATCTCTCTCCCTCATCAGCCCGAAGATTCACTGAGACACAAGCCATTCCTCATTCCCCCGCCCGCCCCACCAGGAACCAAGCATGCTCTGTCTACAGGAGTTGAGTGAAGAAGAGTTAGGTTGAACTGCTCTACTTTGAGAGATTACTGTACCTGTCCCCTTCCATATGCTAGCAGATTATGGTGACAGGAAGGGGAGGACTATCTAGTGTTTAAGGCATCTTAAAGAAATGGAAGTCAGGATTATAAAGTACTATGAGATCTACTGATAGAGCTAGGTATTGTTACTGCAATTCTGCTCCCAGCTCAATCTTTGATTTATCACAGGACCTTAGGCAAGTCTCTTAGGGCCAGATCTGTAATGTTATTTGGATACCTGATTCCCATTGTGCTCTGTAGGGTTGAGGCACCTAAATACATTTATCAATCTGGCCCTCAGTCTCTCTCTATCTCAATGTCTGCATCTGTAGCCATGTGCTGGAAGGTGAGACTCCAGGACTGCCTTCCCCACTTGGTCAGATGGAGCCTGGGCTTCTTCACTTTCAAGAAACACTACAGAGTTCACTTGATCTCCCTGGCCTTGGAAATGAAGGTGTGTTAGCCAAAGGTGCACATAGGGTTTACAGGGGAAGGGGAGGTATATATTCCTCCTGAGAGGTGGAAAGGTAATGGAGAGCTCAGTCTTCATTGTGAGTTTAGTCTGTATAATGTTTTCCTTTTGATGAATTGCATCAAGGAGAGGCACATCTACGGCGGTCATGACTGCAGTACCAGATGCCTCACAAGCATGATTCAGTTTGTATTTTGACAAACAAGCAGGAGCAAAACTATGAAATAAAATTTGAATGGGTCAAATTAGCCACCCGAGCCTCAGCTATGGGAACTGCTCACCAGAAGAGATGGCAAGTTGTCATTAACTGTGATGAATGCATGTGAAATTGCAGTGGAATTTCTCAGGGATTATGGTGCATATTTTACCTCCTCATGAATACCAAAGGAATTCACTAGGACTGCTGTTCAGAATATCAGAGGGAGTCAGCAGAAAGGATGGTGGGGAAATGTACTGCCTCGTCTTGCTTGGAGAAAGAAACAAAGATAAACAAAGGCAGAGGAGGAGTGGGGTGGAAGAGAGACAAGCATAGGAAAATGACGACAAAATATGTTGCAGTCATGTAAGGAGACTTTATAAATACAATGAACAAAAGTTATTTTGATTCTTGTCAGGGTTTTTTCAGATGGTAACCTGATATGCCTTTTTGGCAGTACACGTGCACCTTGTCTTGGGCTGCCAAGGAAGTTATAAAGGGAGGGATTGATATAGCCAGACAGAAGGATACATCTGGAATAAATACGTCGCCTACAGCTTCATTTTTGCTCAACAAGGTCCAGTTCCCAGCACTGCTGATTCTTAAACAGGGAGAAGGGTGTCAGTATTTCAACCACAGCAGACCACGCTTTAGCAGAGGGGATGCTGGGCCTGGCCTATGAGACTGGGTTAATTGCGGAATAACCTAAATATCTGAACTCCCCCAATGTGCAGGTTCCTAGAGTTGGGAAGCCAGTTCTCATGTCCAGTTCTTTTAGCCTGGTCACAGCAGGATGGTTTCAGTCCCAGCAGAGCAGATTAATGGTCTGTGGGTAATAGAGCAGAAAGAATCCCAGGGGCATGATGCCATGACATGACAGAGGAATCCTCTTATGCAAACCCTGCTGCAGGGGAGATAATAAGTCAGACGGACATTCAACAGTGGCGTCTGCAAATTTCACAGAGGAGAGCCGTGCAATGCAAACAAGCCCCACAAATGTGTCGTTCTATCTTTAGATAAAACTAAATCAACTTTCCCCAACTTGGCTCTACAAAATACTGCAAATAATGTCAAACTATGCAAAAGTTGGTGGGAGCTGTATGGCCCTTAAAGGGGCAGTTTTAGATGGAAAATCCTCTCCTAACTTATTGTCCATACTAATTTCTGAATGGTTGAGTAGAAGAACATAAACCAAACCTGTCCCTCAGAGCACATTTCTTCCAGTGTCACAGCTCCACAATAGCCAGGATGCTGTGGGATGTCACGGTCAGTTCTATAATCAATTGTTATTTGTTAGGATGTATTTAATGACGGATGACAGAATGCTCAGCGCTGTAGTGAACACGGAAGACATAGCCCCATCCCAGAAACCTCCGTCTTGGATTTTCAAAGCCGCCTAAGAGACTGAGGCACGCAACTCCCATTGACAGTCTAATAACCGTCCAACGGGGGTTCATAAGCAAAATTATTTCAAAATACGTAGCAGGACAAACTAAGGGAGAAGATTCTTGAGCACACAATAGTTTAAGGCCCACTCCTGCAACATTTAGTACTGGGCACAGTGCTTAGTATTGTGAGTAGCCTCACTGACTTCAAGCCACGCACAGTACACTGCATTGAGTCATTTTGCAGAGCCATGATTTGCATGCTGGCTGGGAATCTGCCAAACACTTTAGTGGCCAAGGAATGCCATGGAATAGCCTTGGTTAGAACTGAGGTCACTGCCGTTAGTACTTTGAAAAACTGTCTAGTGGCTTTCTTAGGGGTGAGGGTGCAGAAGGGAGAGTCAGGAACAAATTGAAGTCACAGAGCGATACAGCCGAGGGCCCAGGAAACCTGAGAGCACGTGAAGTGAGAAAAGAGCGTGAAGGGACAAGTAACATTTTAGAAGTACATAAAGCAAATGGTGCGAGCAGCGTAAATCTCAGGTGGTGGTGAGTTCTGAACAACACAACATTGTCCAAGGCTGATATTGCATAGGCTCCGCTCCTGTTCCCTGTCAGTGCACCTCCCTTCTGATCTTGGACACTCCATCTGTAGCAAGCCCAGGCCTCCTGAACCAGAGACGCTACCTGGAGCTGCAGTACTGCAAAGGCCTTGGTGCAGCAGGTTGGATTTGCAGTACCCCACAAAGCCTAACTAGTTTATTGTTCTGTCTCCTTTGTCCTGAGAACAAAGGATTTAGTGCCCCTGCTGGCAGTCTTTATTCAGACAAAAGACCCATGCAACCCAGCAATTGTTCTGCCGGAATAAGGTCTTCCCTTCAGGATCAAGCTCCTGCTGATTATCTGATTTGCAACTTACTGAGTCCCCCTGTTCTGATAGAGGGTTCTTACCGAATGACCAGACATCAGACTTGGTGCTGTAGTTGGAGTAGGAGAAAACCTCTGGGGCAGACCATTTGACCGGGAACTTGGTGCCTGTGGAGCTCGTGTACTGATCATCAAGGACATACCTGGGACAGACAAAGAGCAGAGCATGTTCAGTGACACGCTCTGTTGTCAAAGCTCAGGGGTCACACTGCGTAGGCCGCACACATGCCACATTACCTCGACATTCCAAAATCCGACACTTTGACGACTTGGGATTCTCCTACCAAACAATTCCGAGCTGCCTGCAAGAAAGGGAAAAATACAAGAAGATGTTTAGTACTTAAGGTTTATCGGCTGTGCTTCATTCCTTTGTCCTCTTATAGACAGACGGTATTTAAAGAACTGCTTAATTGCCCCATAGAAATCTCTAGCTGAGCAAGGTGGAGAGTAAAAGTGACATCACGTAGTGAGATGGGGTCAGACAATTTAAATGCTATAATTTCCAGTTCAGTTTATCCTCAGTGCTTCCCTGTTAAGAAAGTCCTACATGGGGAAGTCTGACCTGTAGTTTGCTCAGCTCTTGTATTTCTCCATCCATTAAAAATTCAGGCAACTACCCACTGACCCACACGCTGTCTAAGCTGGGGTTAGCCAAACAATCGATAACTACTCCCCTGTCCCTGGGAATCAGGAGCAATCTAAGCTGAGTAATCTAGTCCCTTTTCTCCAACAACGAATACATTTCTCAAAAATAGCTTTTAAAACGCGACTGATGTGGCCTGATGTAACAGGAAACAGCCGCTGCCACATTTGTATCAAGCAATGGAATCATACATAGCAGAAATCCCTGGTTGGCCATGGGACCACTGGTTAATGAAAAGGACTATTCCAGAGAAGGGGGGGTTAGTAACAGCGCACCCTGGAAGACAATAGAGCTTTGACTTCTTCACTGATCTGAGAAATGAACACTTTGTTCATCTCAGAGTCGCCAGCACCAGCAAACCGCGGGAGCTGGAGTCTGCAGTGAGGGGAAGAGACAGCACAGGAGAGGGTGGGACTTTGCACCCTGCCTCCTCCCCCAAATGCAGCTCTAGGCTTCCAGTGAAGGAGAGTAGACAGGGCCCCAGAGGAAGCTTCTTCCACTAATTCTTCTTCCCTCATTCCCTGCTATTTCATAGCCTCCTCTGGGCTCAGCACGCCCTCAAGCTCAGCCAAAAGCCACTGGGCCGATGCAAGGAACAAGTGGGGGGGAAATGCCTTGTCTAGGCTAATCCAGACTGCTCTGCGATGAGGGGAGACCGCAGATCCTCCTCCAACAGATACACTGTGAGGCTGAGGCAGCTGACATGAGGCAAGAATCCCAAGAAATTAACCAATCCTGGCTGGCTCGGAGAACAAGACAGTTTACGGGGGACATACCAGGTCTCTGTGAATGACAGAATCCTGCTCCAGATAAGCCATCCCTTCGCACACGTCTTGGCACATCCCCAAGAGGGTTTCCTTGGAAAAGCTGCCCCTCTGGTTTCTGAGGTAATCCGACAAACAGCCATGCTCCATGAACTCAAACACCAGACATATGGGGGCCTGTTCCATGCACACGCCATACAGCTGGACTAACTTGGGATGAGACAGCTTCCTGCCAGGAACAAAAGGAACGTGGGGGAGAGGAGAGTGAGGTGGGCTCATAGGATCAGCAATCACTCACAGAAATTGTCATAAATATACGTCCCAAACACTGTACAGTAACAAACCTTGTTAGTGCCACTACAACCCTTCCTATGCTAAGCATAAGTAGCTCTTGCTGTGAGATGGACAAGTGTGAAAATAAAAGAGGGAATTTAGGGGCGGATTCTAACATCACACTAGTTCAGCACTGATGTATCAACATTGACTTCAACAGAGTTATTCTGGATTTACACCGATGTAAGTGAGATCAGAATCAGGCTATTGAAGAGTCAATGTATGTGACGGAAGTCTAGCGGTGCAAATCAAGGTGTCCCTGCCTCCACACTCAATATTCCTGCCCTTCCTTTTACATATGCACTTTACAATTACCTAATACATTTGTCTTTTCAATATGGTCGCATTCAGCATGAGTACACAGGTCTACGGTCAGAAAAGTATTGCACAAGACTTGCTGACAAATTCTGTGCACCCAAAACACCCCCAGGAACAACTGGTCAAAAAAGGAGGTGTTTTTTCCATGAACACGTTCAAATAAAATGGATTTTGTTCCGGCTTTTGTCAAAAAAGCACAAAACAAAAATTTGAATTGCCAAAAATTGAAAAAAAAAAATTTTTCAACAAAAGCCAAAAAAATCTAAATGAAATTTCTTCTTGTGGCAGTTTTTGTCAAAAAGCCATTTCTGGTCCCAAACCCCACATCCCTGTTATGAAGAAACGGAGATCTAGCTTCATGTTTTGGGTATTGGTAGAAGTATAGACACATTCTCTCACACTAAAAATTCATCTGGGCAGTAACTGCTACAGCACACGCTTTTATACACATCTCGCTAATAAACAAACCAGCATCTAAGCACAGTTTAGATTGCATGATATTATTTTAATGTTTCAATAGGGTGCTCTGAACCATGGATGGGTTCATTTTTTCTGTCCTACTGAGCACGCCCAGAATATACCGGCTGAGAATATAGAGCAGCCCACTTACATCATGACTTGGGCCTCCTCAATAAAGTCCTCTTCTGACATTGCTCCTTCGCGAATGGTCTTTATAGCAACTTTAGTCTGCTCAAGCCAGTAGCCAAGATGGACCAGCCCAAACTGACCGCTGCCAATCTCCTGCACAAATGTTAGCTCCCAAGGATTTATGACCCATTTTCCTGTTAACAGTAAGGGAACAAAAGGAGTAAAGATCTACCAGTAACGTATGAGGAAGGATGGACTTGCAGGTAAGGCACTGAACTAGGATTCAGGTGATCTGCTTCTACCTGTGTAATGTTGGGCAAATCACTTAACCTCCCTGTACTCCAGTTTGCCATCTGAAAACTTGGGATAATAATTATTCCTTTTTCCCACCCTGTGTCTGTCTTGTCTATTTAGACTGTAAATTCTTCAGGGCAGGGACTATCTCTGCATATGAATATATGCAGCACCAAGCAAAACTGGGCCTTAATGTCAGTTGAAGCCTCTAGGAATTACAATGATTACGATAACGATAATATTACTGTAGGAAACAATGTACAACAACAATGGGCCTATCACACGGCCCTCAACTCTCATAGATGGCAGCATCTCAGGTTGCTTGGGAAGATGAATGGTCTTGCTTCAGCATTTACTTCCGTATTTAATATTGACTTAAACAGGATTGGAAGCTATTCAGTTTCTCCCAGGAGGCTCCTTTAATCGACAGTGTGCCTACTAATTCCCTGGGATCTTTCAAAGTCTGGTCATCTCTCCTGGAAATGTCTGAGTGTAAAGACTTGGAAACTGCCAGTTACTGCTGGGATGTCTCCATAAGGAGATTCAGGCTCACAGAGCCTACCTACGCTCCAGGGGATGAACATGCTATCTCAAGGCAAGATAAGTATAGGCAGGGGAATAACTCCTTACCATAGCTCAGTCCTGCAGTGATAGGGGCCTTTTCTCTCCAGGAACAAACAGCATACCGCAAACGAGTGACGAGACCTGGATCACGGAGGAAAATATGGGCCCTAGTTATTGCAGCTGACTAACATGGTGCAAAAAGTGCAAAGGTGACATACTGCCATAGCAACATCTGATCATTGGAAACTGGTAAAGAAATGAATGAAAGTCAATGCATACCAGCCCATGCAAAAGCTACCTTTGGAAGGTCAGAGGTAGGTGTTTTAGTATTTTGTACTGGATTAAAAGGTACTGGGGACACTTGTCATTGTGTCCTCAGTCAGGGTTGCTGAAGCAGAGAATGTGTATGCGATGCTTTGCTAGAGCAGAATGCAGAAGAGTTTGCACAGTCTCCTTCACTAAAGTCACTGGAAAAGTTTGGGGCAGGTGTTAGGGAAATATTCTTAACAGCAAGAGCAACTATGAAACTGACAACCACAAAAGGTACTCCAAGTGCTCCACTTTAGCTAGTCAAGAAGGGATTTGGAACAATGATGGTCAGAAATGAGGTACTGTACATATAATGAGTAGTTCTGCAAAAAGCAGATTGAATGACCCAAATGGTGACCCAACCTGGTCTTTTATTTCTAACCCCAGTGTTTTCTAGAAATAACTTTTTATTCTTAGAGAAGCACGAATTGAGAAGTCCTGCTCTGAGGGCATTAGCGGTTGTCAATGCATTGCAGGGACTGCTAAATTCCACTTGGTGGCAGCTGAATCTCTGTTTGGGTCAAGGGTGGTGACTTCCTGTCTGCTCGAAGGAAGCAGTTTCCGATCTACATCAGCCAGAACCTTCGTTTTTGCCCAGTCACTAAACAGGAGCTACGGAAATTAGAAGTCTCCATTATCTGATGATTGATTTCTGCTGCAATATCATGTGATGCCTGATATTTAGAGGCCATCTCTCATGCACAAGGCATCTCTGTGAGCTTTATTCTGTCGAAGGGTGGATACAGGCAGTACAGGGGCTGTGTACTGTTTGCCAGTGCAGCCACTATGAAATCTACAGTAGATCATACACTGCCTTAGACATCTGAACCCTGCTGCAGTTGAGAGGTAATGTTAGAAACTAGGTTGAGATTAACCCTTTACTGTCATCAGAAAGTGCCATGGGATCTTTAACCTCCAGCTAACCAGCGGCCAGAAGTGAGACGGAAATTTCATCTTAAGAGCAGAAGTCCTGAGAGCCTTCACTCTTCCCAACCAAAGTCACCCAGCACATGGGAAAACAGCACTCACCGGCTGCGTTGTGCTGGTGATAGTTGATGAGTTCGGGGATGGAGTCGAAGACGTGCTTTTCTGCCAAGTAATACCGCTTGGGGTTCTCATCAGTCTCTTTGATGTGATAATGCTTGATAACTGGGGTGCTGTCGTTGCTGAAAAAGAAGACATATTCTGTAAGAATAACAGGCAGCAACAAAACCCCAGGAGCAGGGGAGATGAAGGGAAGAGGCAAGAGCAGCCTTACACTGCCAAGATTTTCCTAATTGTTCTGTCCCTGAATTCCTGTAACATTTGGCAGCACCCAGGGGGGAAAAGGTCCATGGAATACAAAGTGACAACAGAGCTTTGCATCTACACAGCATGACATAAGCAATGTGTTGCTTGAACCACCTTTCTCTTCTTCCTGGAGTCAAGATTACAAATATCCATAGCAGAATCCAACAATTTGGAAAAGTATGTTTGTGACTCAGGATTCCCAGGGGTGTGCTTTAATGTATTAGAATGGTAAACGGTGTGTTCTGTTACTCCCTAGGATGGAGACCTGCTCTTTGATGGCAGGAAGAAAAGATTCACCTTTAAGGGCGAAATGCAAAGCTAAGATGAAACCTGAGGCTCACAAACAGGGTGTGGAGAAACTCTGCCTTTGGGTCTAACTAAGATGTCCCCCTGCACACAAAGGGAGGAACCTCCAGCTGCTGAATTAGTGGGTTAATTGTTAAGCCTTCCAATGGAGCAGACAGCCATTATACTGGAAGAGGAACAAGAGGGATGAGCTACAAAAATCAACAAAACCACCTGCTTGCTCATTGACCCTCTCACTTCCCCAGTGGCCTCACCTGTACAGACAGAGAGGTCTTCCTTGTGGTATTGGGGACACAACGTTGCCAACCTCAAAGCTGGAATTTTAGCTGGAATTTTAGGGTCCATACAGGGCAGTTACAGTGCAGCACCGCCATGTCCACACCGCCACCGGGGAACCTCAGCATGGAGCTTCACCCCTTGGGGACAGGACAGTCTGAAGCATGGGGCTGGCCCGAATGGGAAGCTCTGCCTCCGAGAGTCTGAGAGAGGAGAGCCCGACAGAGTGAGTGGCAGGGGGCTGGCTCCAGCATGGAGCCCTGCCTCTGGGAGCCTAGCAGCTGCTGCTGGTGTGCTCTGCATGCACACCCCTCTAATGTGCTTATGCTTCACCGCCACACCACCACTGTCACCTGGACAAGGCTACAAGCTCCAGTAAAATCACCCAAATGTCAGCACAGGGAACAATTTGCAGCCCAAAAAATTGCCTGTCGCCGATTCCAGGTATTTTGTCGTGGAGGCCTTCAAAAACTAGCCCAGCTGGTGAAAAATCACCTTTTTTGGCAACACTGCTTTAAGGGCTGAGCTTCCCAGACAAAGAGCTCTTTTTCTTAGGCACAGCCAGTTGCACCTGGACAGAGACTAAGGTGCAAGCACCTTAAGCACTGAGTGATTGCTGAACCACCACCTGGTTCCAGTAGCAAAGAGGAACTAAGAAGATACCCTGCGTGGAAGAATGCAGCAGCTAAAAGCCCCACCAGAGCTGAAACTCTCTGGAAATGTGGAAACCAACTCAAGAAGGCTGAAGGAGCACGGCACTCTACAGAACACCACAGCCATGAGCTCTCAGAGAATGGGCTGTGAGCATAATTATCTCTACTGCTGCTTTTTGAAACTAGGCTTTCTTCTTCATTACCAAAACCTTTTCTGATAGTGGCATGTTGTGTGTATTCTGTATAATCCCTTTGTAGGCCGTGATCCTGTAAACACTTAGGGGACTAGCTTCGCACATGTGTACTACCCCTGGGATCAATGAGACTATCCATATGCGTAAAGCGATGTGCGTACGTGTTTGCAAGAGCATAGCCATACTTGTGTTTTCACCAATGTATTTTGCTCTGTGTAGGGCAGTTTGCCACACCTCTATGCCCGGCAGGTGTTCATCCCTCTTTTTCAGAAGCGCTACGGTTCTCCCTGAGTTCTTCCTTTGGGAGCAGACGTGACTCTGGATGTTAAAGACTCCCACATAAGTTGCTGGCTGAAGCCACTTAATCAATGCAGAAACCTGCTGAGCTGAGCTGTACCTTAAGGCCTTGGTGAAAACGGAGACCGTGTACATGCCAGGCTGCCTCGAATCTCTCACCATGAACGCACCTTCCTTACCCTGAGCCAAGAGCAGAAGGAAGAAGGGAGGTTAGAAGCCCGGTGTGAGTAGAAACAGGTTGGGGGTATGTCACTTTACTACATGTCCGTGCAGCACCAAGCACCGTGGGGCTCTGCCCTTGACTGGGACTCCAGGTGCTACTGTGATATAACTGATTAATAATAATAATAACACCTTTGATCAATGAGGCCCTGAGACTTGGAGCATGTATCTGGCATGAGTTGCTCTGAACACTTCTCGCCCCTCCCTCTCACCATTCATGATGGGAAATGCTGGCCAAAAGTCGCCCACATGCAGAGCCACACGTTCTGGAGGAGCTCAAGCAGGTAACAGTCATGGAGATAAATATGCCCCAGATACAACCCACAGTGCAGTCACGCTGGTGTGAGAGACAGGAGAAATCAGCTCCCTGAGCAGCGCGTGGACACCTCCCGTAGGAGTTTATAGGAAATTTTCAAAACACAAACCCAGCTCACGCAGGTTTTTATTTCCACCGAAATGCCATTTTTTCAGAGCAACAAAACCTTGCTCTTTTGCTCTGCTGTTACTAGAACTGGTCAGAAAATGGGGTTTGATTTAATGGAGAAAATTCTGACAAACTATTTTTTCCTCTTTTCATTGAAATTTACTTGGGTGAAATATCAGAAACTGAAATTTTCTGGTGTTCAGCCAAAACATTTCAGTTTTGGGGCATTCAGAGTTTTGATCAAACAGCAAAAATTTCTGTGGAAAGCAGAAACTTTTCACAAAACGTTTTTGTTTAGTTGAAACCCCAGTTTTCCTTTCACTAACAGTTATGAAGGAAAATGTTTGACCAGTCCTCATTATTATGGAGCATCTGTTTGGGAAGGGAAGATGCTCACACAAAATCTGGGCAGAAGTAAGGAAGGTTTTTTGTTATTTTGATACATGTTTGGCCCTGTCCTTACACCACACTCTGGGTGAGAGCAGGCACAGAAATACCGGAGGAACTTAGGATTCAACTGTCTTATAGCTCGGGCAGCCCACAGGATCTTTTCCACCTTTGTCAATAATTAAATATTAGAGAGACAAGGTGGGGGAGGTGATATCTTTTATTGGACTAACTTCTGTTGGTGAGAGGGACAAGCTTTCAAGCCACACACAGAGCTCTTCTTTAGGTTGAACACTGTGTGGCTCGAAAGCGTGTCATTCTCAACAACAGAAGTTGGTTCAATAAAAGATATGACCTCACCCACCCTGACACTCTATTGTCCTGGGACTGATACAGCTACAACTATACTGCGTGCACTGATTAAACATTGTTCTTCATTTGACACCGTACTGTTTCCCTGGGAAATGCAGAGGGACGTTCTCTTTGTGATGCCAGTGGCACTATTCTGGATATGTTTGTGGGCATTTTCTAGGAGGAGATATCACTTGACCTCTTTCTGCATGGGCTATGTGGAGTCATTGTGGTGTAGCAAAGCCACCTCCCTTCCCACCAACCATGGAAAACTTGGAATAACAAAAATCATATTTAGAATACAGAAAAGTGGGCAACTGTGCTCATGAGAATGAGCGGCCTGAGCTGTTTATTGACAGACTAACACGGCTGTTCCTCTGAAACCTAGATTTAGGTTGCCAGCTGACTTTGGCAGGCACTTGCATGGACCCCACTGGGGATCTGCATAGGTGGAGGGGTTCACTCATGAGGACCCCTTTTTCCGGAGTAGGGCTGTAGAGCGGGCAGGAGCTATGTAAATGTCCCCTGTAGAGATTTGCCCTGGCACCTCAATCCTGACCTGCAGATCACTCCTTGCAATTCCAGTCCAGGGCGCTGTGTCAAGCGGAGACTACCAGGCAAGCTCAATTATGGGTATATGGAGAGACCAACATTTTGTAGGGACTAACTCCAGACCAACAAACTCATCAACATTGGCAACCAGGAATCCAGGCCTCTGGAGGCAAAACAGAATTCCTTAACCCACTGGGAGTCACCTAACTTCCTTCCTCATATGCAATATCTTTAAGCAAATTGGAGTCGAAACAAACTTATTGCTTTCCAAATTCATTCAAAAAGTAACACCACTTTACCTCATCTTTGAGGAGTGCTTCTGCTTTGTTTCTGCTGATATTCTTATTATACCATCTGAAAGCAACAGAAAGACTCAGTCAGGAATTCCAGGCTATTTGGACCAATCATCATATATTGCCTTGTTTAGCTTGCATAAGCAAAGCCATTTTTAAAAAGTCAGTGACCAACCTGCAGCACAACAATGAAGAAAATATACCCCAGGACTGCCCATATTTGCTACGAATTAATATTCATGTCTTCAGATTGCCAGTTAACTCAAGGGATGTAATACATTTTGTAAAGGCTAATATCAAGTCTGTAAAGTAGGGCCAGTCAAGGGCCAGTCATGGAAAAGTATTTTTGATGGAAAAATATCTTTGAATTCTATGAAAACTTTCAAGAAAACGTTTACATCATTCATATTTTCCTGATGGTTTTCAATGAATCGGTTTGAACAATTAGTTTCCTTTTGATTTGAACCGAAACAAAAACGTGTGTTTTGGGTTTTGTGGGATTTTTCCCCTTCCCCACCGCCCACTCCCTTTTTTAGTTTCAAATCATTTCATTGACAACAATCTAAAATGTAGAGAAAACCTTCCCCCAAAACAAAAATATTTGGTTTTGTGCAAAATTTGTCGATGGAAGAACATTCCCATTTTTAACCAGCCCTAGTTCTATTAGTAATAGGAAAGAGTTACTGACTTGAACTAACATCTTCACTGCACCAGAAGTATACAATGAGACTGTCCAAGAATAACATCAAGTTTAAGGTGAGAACGCTGCAGTTCCCTATTCATTTATGTGATGTTACAAGACAGGCTCACAGGACCTGATTCCACTGTCTTCTAACTAATATGATCATATACATCTGTTCTGTGGGGCTGTCAAACGTTACCCAAAGAAGTGTCATAATGACTACGCAACGTGCAAGACAGTGGGACTTCAGGCTCACTGAGTCAGCAGCAGCTGTAATATTTAATGCTACCTAGTTCTTACTCAGTACTTCTCATCACTCGATCTCAAAGCACCTTGCAAAGGAGGTTAGTGTCGATGCCACTAGAGCTGTCAAGACCCATGAAACAAGTTCAGGCTACTTACTCGTATATTTGCAGGTTGTCTGGTGATTTTTCCACCAGGTAACTGCTTGGTACATATCCTTCGTGCCTGTTAAAAGGAGATTAGGTTGTCAGTATATCAGAAAGCCAGGATTCTTTGTACATGTACTGTCAGCTCTGAAAACTTTAGTATGTAGGAAACCTCACTCCCTGCTCTGTATTTGCTTGTTGTTTTGAATGGATGCCAGCCAAAAATTAATCTAGACAAAAAATAATTTGTAAGGAGCTGATGTAGCATATTCCCTCCACCCCAGCTGAAAAGGAGGATTTGTGAATGAAAGGGGTGTACCTATGGCACAGTTAGAACTGCTTGGGAAATCTTCCAACAAAACAGTGGTTTGCTGGAAAACGCCGTTTGTTGTAATAGAAACTGTTTACAGGAAAGGGACGGCTTTTCCAAATTTCCCATTTTAAAAACAATTTGAAAGAAGTTTCAAAACATTCCATGTCAACGTTGTACCAAAGAGAAAAAGGTCTGGTTTGGGGTTGGAATGACTTTTCATTGCAAAATGTAACTTAACTGACAGTAAAAAAAATGAAATGTTTTGACATCATCAAAACCAAACTATTCAACTGGCCCAGTCTGATTTTTTTTTTTTTTTTTTTTTGGTTCATGAAAATTGTTGGGATTTTGACTTTTCATCCTGATTTGGGATGGGAAAAAGTTTCAAAATCTCACAAATTCTCATGAGACAGGAAACCTGTTTCCCATCCAGCTATAGGGACCGTGCTTTCCCTGTGCTCCACCCAGGGCAATGCAGTTACACATTGCTCTGTGCTCAGGGCTATGTGCTATTCTTACTCACGCACAGACCCTTCATTTAGGTGGAATTACTCATTTTCTGCAAGGGTTACGGGACCAGGCTGCTTGGGAGCTGCAGTGTTAATATGATTAATTCAGCTAGTTAAAACCTGTTCTGTGCTGTTTCTGTTCTGCTCAATCCGGAGAATATTATCCTGAAAACACTGGAGCTAAGTGGCTTCTGCTTCCTGTTTGGGCTTTGTTCTCGGCAGGCTTTGCAAAATTTTGTTTTCCAAAGCTGTAAGGCTGTGTTGCCAGCTGGGGGTTGATATGAAAACGGATGTGTTTTAATTAGAAGACCAGATTCCATACACATAAGCAGTCCTAAAGCTACCTTTTCCATTAGTTGTTCCACTGAAGTCAATGGGACCCCTCCTCAAGGACGGTGCTACTCAAGGTGAGTAAGGGTACCAGAATCTGGCCCTCAACAATTTTTTATTGAGTGTGTTTTGTAATGGACACACACAGCAGATTTACAGATGACTTAGGCGCTGCTAGGACAAAGGTACCTACCCATTCTTATCCTGAACCATCCACCAATGATCCTCAGAGTTGTCAATAACGTAGTACTCCTCACCGCGCTGTAAGGTCAACTCCTGGGGATTCTGAGCCTTGTAGTCATATATGGCCATTACTAAAGCATCCTTGGGGTCTAGCAACAGCCTCTGCAAAAAAGAAAAACAATAACCAGGCTCAGAATTTATATCCACAAAAATACAGGGCAAGTAGCCACTAACTGCTAAGTAGGTGAAATGTACCCTCTATAGTGGATCCCATATCCTCGATGCTGGAAAATTTACATGGAAAATGATTGGGTCTCTATGGCCCTGGTGGGGGATGCTGGGATCACTGAGAAATTCCCAGCCCTTTTGAACAACAGCAAGCCCAGCTGCCTGGTGAAGGAGCAACATGAGGACTGGTTATCAGTGCTGCTGGGCTTGCCCACCTTTGACTTGGAATAAGCTTGAAGTGTTTCAGTGTGGTGGCGTTTAGCACAGCAGAGGTCCTGCTTCTCTCGCAACAAAGTAAAATATTGCAAAGCTGCTGCCCATTTGTCAAACCAAACTGCATCTTAATGAGCAAACTTAGCTCCTTACATGGCGCTGCTCATACACAGTTTGAGAAAGACAAAGGTGAAAATCCAAGAGGAGCGTGGAATCCAGGAAGAATCACGGGCGTGCTAATCTCTTTGCAGAGAATAGTGCACTGCAAGCAATGAGCCCTAAATGGGGCATTTTCCCCAGGGCAAGTTAATCAGACAAGGCACTGCTGAGGCTTCTCCTGCCTCGCTGCACTCACCCAGTTATCTTCAGGAGTGGGAGGAAGAGGCTTCTTGGAGGCTAAAATGAAATGAAGTAAATTAATTTGGAACCAATCTAGACAAAACCAGAGAAGAATATCAGGGAGCCATGTAAGTGACGTCGAAATGGCTGTGAGGTATAGAGAAGAATATAATTTAAGAATAACAAGGCTTGGCTCCTTATTGCTGTTGGAATAAGAAGCAAAAAACGACCCTCACACTTGCATAGCATCTTTCAACCAGAAGAACTAGACCTGAAGGTGTTGTATGGGGGTTGCCCAGGCACCAGTGGAAAGCAGCTGTTAGTAGAATGCAACGTTTGTTTCCCCCTAGCAGCACTATACAGCCAATTCAGAAGAGGAAGTGGAGAATAACTTTCTCAGCTGAAACCACAGGGCAAATGGAGGTAGAACAAAATAGAAATATAATTTTGCCATGACACAGGAGCAAACTCCCTTCTCTTGAGAGAATTGTCCTGGGTCATTTACTGATCACAAGTGGTCAGCAAGTTGGTTTTACACCTCATTCAAAGGATAGCACCTAACACCCCGGTGAGGTAACTGGGTCAGTTTTAATTCAGAGGAAAGAATACCATTTAAAAAGGACGATAGGAAGACGAGGATAAGGTACATCCTGGGAAGGTGGCACCATTTCTCTTCCCTGGAAATGTAGCACAATGTTCTTCAGTGCTTTTTACAAGGTGGGATGAATCTTACTGTTGCTTGGCACAGACAAATCGAAGACTGAGAATATCCGTAATGAATCCCGTACCGTTCTTGGTGGGGTCATATTCTATACATCCGGCTGCCAGCTTCTCTGTCTGGGCACAGCATCTCCATCTCCCATCTATCCAAAAATTTGGATGATACTTCGGCACCAAATTGTTGTTGTTCCTGGTTTCTGAAAGAAGTCAGGAAATGTTCTGTTTTAAAAAGGATTTATACGACAAACTGAGGTCTGTGGCACTGACATGAGCTCTGTTAAAGATCAGTGGAAGTGAGTGAAAATCATCTGAATTTCAAGGAAAATTGTTTTCCCTCAGTCAAAGAGCATGAACGCTGATGACAGCCCTCTTTTTGTGAGTATCTTCAGCCAGATGTGTTTAAATTTTCTACTTTCTCATGTAAGGAGTGTATTCTCCCATCAGTGGATACAAAAAACCCTGATTAACATTAATGGAAATTATGCAATTGCACAGGGAAGACTAGAATCTTGGCAAAGTGTTTCTCTTTAAATTTTCAACAACAAAGGCAAAAAAAAAAAGCACTTATAAAAAAAATAGAAAACCTGACATAGCATTTAGCAAAGACGCTTATAAGAGACCACAACTGTACCGCATGTATAGGATACAGTCAGTTACTACTGTTGGCTCAGTTACAGCGTTAGCTGTATGGCTCAAAATTGGCATTTAACATTTAGCATTCACATGCTTAAATACCCATCTGACTGTCCTCATGAGGGATTAAAGCTCCCATGTTTGAAATTAGTGCTCTCTGGGTAAAAAAACCTTTTACTATTAAAAAAAGATCTGCAGGCCTGATTCACCCGAGCCTGTTAAATTGCTCCGTGAAGATGAAGTTATGAAATGTTTAACTAAAGGAAGTGCTAAAGCAGAGCACTAACCATAGCAGCCTTTAGCAAAGTAAATGGTTGCAGAGTAAATGCAGCAACAATGAACTTCATAGCAAGGCTAAATGTCTCCCCGATAAATGGAACACTCCCCTCACATTACAACAGCCAGTGTTATAAACCAGGAAAAGGTAAAGGGGAGGACTTGTGCAATCCGTGTTACTAAACAAGACCTCCCTTATCTCAAGCACTATGGTCCTTTCTGTTTGCAGTGCTCACTGCACTTTCACTGCATAATCAACACAGTGATCCCAACAAATATAATCCAAGAGGAGAGGGAAATAAAAGCCATCCACAAATAAACCTCCCAATAACGACTTCTTTAGGAAGATTGTTATCCAAACAAAGAGTCTTAACTGTGGTTGAAAGATTTTCTACACACCAAAAACTCTCTTTATATATACCAAAAAAAAATTAATCAAGTAAAATACCCTCTCTCCCCCAGCATCAGAAGAATCAAGGTTAGGACAATGTATTAACTAACTAATGTTGCCAGTGAAATCCAACCAAAACCTCCCCATGGACCAACTTTTCCAAGGGCTGCTGAAACTATGCCCCTAAAATTTGCCAACGTGCTGTATAACCACCTGCACGAGTGCCATTCTGCATGTGCAAATATAAGGCATTTGACTCCCTCTGAGCTGTAATTTTTTTCTAGTCTATGGCTACTGAGAAAGCGGGGTTGGAATAGGTGACTTTGGAGATTCGATTCGATTGCGCACAGGACTAAGGTTACCTTCTTTCAGAGTAAACACCCATCTTTGCCGGCTCTCTCGATCGGGTGCAAACACATACAGCAGGTAGTTGTCATGAAGAATCTGGAGAGGGGACCAGAGAAGCAAGCCAGTGATTAGAAACAGCTCCTACTGTCTTTCATATCCAGGGGAACTCAAAGCACCTTACAGACCACAGACCAATGAGTTACATACCAATAGTGCAGTGACTATGTAGGCAAATGTGACAGCCAACGTGTTCTCAGAAATGGCTCATAACCCCCAGAGAATCTAGCACCTTGGTTTGGTTATTTAAAATTGATAGGGAATATTGTCCAGGAAAGAATTCAGCTCAGACATTCTTTGGGGTCAAGTTCTCTGCTGTGGAGGAAACACTAGTGAAATTAGTGTAGCTCCAGCCACTTCCACCAGCAGACAATTTGGCCCTACATTTTCTATTTTCAACTTCCACTATTACTAACATTTGTATGGAAGCAGCATCCTTGTTTCTTAGCAGTGTGTCTGTTCATGCAGTTTGTCTTCACCTGAAATCCTAGAGCCAAATTCTGCTCTCACCTGTACCAGTGTATATTCTGAGCAACTCCATTGATTTCAATGGGTCTACTCAGGACTTACTCCAGTGTAATTAGGCAGAATTTGGCTCTAGGATTTTAGATGGGAAATAAGCTGCAGAAGCAAGTGAACTACTAGGAAACAAAGATGCTGTTTTCATAAAGTTGTCCCTACTTCTGAACAAATGTGGGAAGAGAATGCAGAGCATTCATAAAAAGAAAAGGAGTACTTGTGGCACCTTAGAGACTAACCAATTTATTTGAGCATGAGCTTTCGTGAGCTACAGCTCACTTCATCAGATGTTTACCGTGGAAACTGCAGCAGACTTTAAAGTTTAAACTTTAACTTTTAACTTTAAAGTTAAAGTCTGCTGCAGTTTCCACGGTAAACATCTGATGAAGTGAGCTGTAGCTCACGAAAGCTCATGCTCAAATAAATTGGTTAGTCTCTAAGGTGCCACAAGTACTCCTTTTCTTTTTGCGAATACAGACTAACACGGCTGTTCCTCTGAAACAGAGCATTCATGACATTTAAGGAAATAAGGTAACATTTTCCAAAGCAGCCAAAGGATTTAGGCTGATAGTCTCTAAATAGAGACTTCTGTGAGACGTCAGCTGGTCCTTAAACAGTATCCCCAGTCGTATGGGAGGAATGGTGAGAGTTTATGACTGTTATTTTAAAGAATCAATCCCTCCGCTCATCCCTTTGTCCTGATGCTTTTTAGCACATACGTGCATACATACCCAAGTGCTGTGCAGCCTTGGAAACCCTGAATTATTCCCTTTATATTGATAAATTATAACTTTCGAAGAAAAAACAGAAAAAAAGGCATATCTCCTGCTCCCTCTGAACTACTCTTCCATTGATGGTGCTGATCTGTCTTGTACAGTTGCTTGTATAAGTTGCTTTTTCAAACCTGCAGCAAACTTCTGAAGCGTGCAAAAAAACCCCTATCTTTCTGTACGATACAGGCTGTATTGCACTGTGCGGCCTCATGTACCAAGCCACACGAAGATATAGACCCATTGGTGGTTGGGTGGCAGATCTACAGCAGGATACAGCTGCCTTTTTTTTTAATGTGCTCTTACAGAACTATACAGAACTGTCTCCGGGGCAAAATTCAGACCTGCAATTAGCAGGTGCAACTTCCATGTGTCATTCACATCACCTGTGAAGTTTGTCAGATATCTCAAAAGGAGTTCACCTGTTTTCTCTGCAGAGCGAACCCAGCTTTCTACTCCAGCTTTATTTTATTTGTTAAGCAATATGGCAACATATAAGAATTCAGATGAAAGAAACATATTGAAGGGTTTGTTTCTTTTTAAATATTGGTGTTTCCAGGAAACAAGGGTTTAATCCTTGGCCATGCTCCAGTGACACAAAGAAACTGGAAGCTGGTGGATATCCCCAGCCAAACCTTTCCTCAGCCTGTGGCAGCTCCCAGCTGGCTCAGAGCTGGTTAGCTGTTGTTAAACACGCCAGGTAAAGGGCCGCACACCAACAGCCATTTGCAGTGCACAGCACCAACTTCTCTTGGTCCCAGAAAATATCTGAACAAGATTATATCTTTCTGAGGACCTGGCACTTTATCTGATAACTGTCTAAGTAAAGATAGCTCATATGTAGAGCACTCCTGTAACAGCCATCCCTCAACAGTTCTCAGCCCAGCGTGGAAAGGGGCTTAGCATTCCAGTGGGGCCTTGATTTGTGGGTGTTTGACGTACACTCATCTCCCGATGATTTCAGTCGGAGCTGCAGGGACTCAGCCCCTGTGAAGATAAAGCCCCCAGTCTCTAAGCTTGGGCACCTATAAAATGAAGCCACTATTAGAAACGTGAGCTGTGTAACTTCTTGACGGTCACAAAGGGAGTCTGTGGCACAGCTGGGATCTCCCGACCCCAGTCCTGTGCTGGAAGTTAATTGCTCTCCCTTATTGTACCCCTATGAGCTGGTGTACTCCACAGCTCAAAATAGGGGAATTTCACCCATTGTGAACAGAGCCCTCTATACAATTATTAGTCAATAAGGCATATGATAAATGTGCAGTCTTAGTGTTTAGATTAATGTGCTAGAAAGTGATCTATAATCTACATTAGGAATACAATATTGTCAACCCCAAATGTTCAAAATAATGAGTCAGGCCCCAAAATCATGAGCTTTTATGTAATAAGAAATGTTGGGTTCTTTTTCTTTTCTTTCTGTAGGATTGTGCTGGGGCGGGGGGGGTGGTCACATTTTCAAGCTTTTTTCTGCAACTGTGAGGCCTAGAAATGTACTTAATAAATGAATTAGATGAGATTTTCCTGTATTCACTTGCCTCCAGAAGCTGTGGCCTTAAGAAAAGGCCACATATTGTGAGATTTCTGATAAAATTGCGAGAGTTGGCAACTCAGGTAACAGAGCCAAATGGGAATTCTAAATGTAATGGCCACCTAACACTATGGAATTTCTCGTTTGATGGCAAGGTAAATATATCACGTTTGCATTTATTCTTTGTAGACTAGAGAATATGTTTTCTCCATTCTCTTCCCTAGCACTGTCTCCTCTTGGTCCTTCTACAATCTTACCACCGTTACCGAAAAGCCTTCTCCGTTAGTGCTCCTCCCATCTGGAACAGCCTTCCTGCATGTCTCCTATTCATCAAGGGCCTGATCTAAAACCCACTGACAGTGGGGGGGTAATTCACTATTAGTGAGGGTGATTAAACTCTGAAACAAACCACCAGGAGACATGGATTCCCCCTTCCACGCCCCCAACACTTGTAGTCTTCAAATCAAGATTGGATGTTTTTCTGGAAGATGCTTTAGTCGAACACAAGTGATTAGGCTCAATACAGGAATAACTGGATTAAATCCTGTGGCCTGTGTTATACAAGAGGTCAGATTAGATGATCTAATGGTCCCTTCTTACCATAAAATCTATGAATTTGTGTAGTCCAGTGGTTTTCAACATTTTTTTATTTGTGGACCCCTAAAAATTTTCAGATGGAGGTGCAGACCCCTTTGGAACTCTTAGGGAAACTCTATGGACCCCCATGAGTCTGCAGACCACAGGTTGAAAACCATTGTTCTATGGTAACGAAAACCTTTCACAGACCCCTTAGACATGCTGTGCAGCACTCCAGGAGTCTGCGGACCACAGGTTGAAAATCGCTGGTGTGGTCAATGGAAGACTCAGTCTTCAATTCTCCATTTCTTTTCGCATCTTAGCTGAAAGCATATTTATTCCCCCTTAAGTTCTCCCTTTGCTTTTCTATATCACTGCCATGGTGTTAGTTTACCTCTACATACATGTTGAGATCGTTTCTGTGAAAGACTCTGCAAAAGAAAGCAATTGTATGGATATCGGCAGACTTACCTGGAAAGGATATTTATAGTTACAGGGAATTGTGATGTCACTTTTCACAATTTCAACACATTTGATCCTGGACAGTTCAATGGAGCCCTTCAAAGTTCTTTTTTTCTGAGAGAAAGAAAAGTATTTGGTTCAGGATTCCGATTTCGCTAATTAAGATTAATTGAGTAATTAGGCAAAGGCTGAGTGTGAAGTCCAAGGCAGGTTGGTCATTTACTTGAAAGGAGTAGGATCAGAACCTTTTGTTTGAAAAGTGCATAGAAAAAGCAAAGGGCTGAACACAGCAGGTAGTTCATTACAGAGCCAGTCAAACTTTTTTCGCTGAAACATTTTTTCTAGAAAAAAATGGCTTTTTGACCAACCTAAAATATGTTAAAGAAAATTTTAATTGTGCTGGAAATTTTCTAATTTTACACTGAAAAATCAAAACTGGAAACATTTTCAGTAAAAATTTTGGATTTCAGTTCAGCTCTGGGAAGAAACTTTAGGGGTTTGGTTTTCAAAAACTGAACATATTTACCAAAAATGGAATATTTTACTGAAATTGGTTTTCAAAAATAAACATTTTTCCATTTGAGTTTTCAGTTTTTGTTTCAAAAACAAACACAATTTTTTTACAAGAAATCTTGTTTTTCAAAATTTCCTTACAAAACTACTTTTTCTGACCAGCTCTAGCGTACTATTGTTCACCAGAAAACACTAGATAGATAAATAGGCTTGGAATGGGGAAGACAAAGGAATCCCCAAGAAAATGTTTGCTCAAACTCCTAAAAGCAAAATAACTGCATTTCAACAGCTCTGTTCATTTCTTTTCCCCTAATCACCACTCAGCATTCATGATCAAGTTGTCTGCAGCTTCACAAGTGAGACTGATTAGAAAAACATCAGTGTTCAGTAGACAGGACCTAATCAGATGCCTGTTATCGAGTGCATTCTTCTGAAGGATTCACTACAAAAACACTTGCTCCTCGGAAGCAAAACTCGTTTCCTGTTTTGATTCTTCTTCAGCCGGGATTAAATGTTGTAGCTGTCTTCCAGCACAGATCTGTGACTACAAAAGCCTGCAGTGCTTCAAGAACACCATGGTGCAGAGGACTTTTGCTTTTCTAAAGCAACCTGTAGCTTGGATCAACGTGCTGACAAATGGGCTTTGGAGACTATTTTGTGTCTTTTGTTACACTGCTACCTTTCAGCTGCCTACCTGTGTATACAGTGAAGCAGATAATGCAGCTGATCACAAAGGGTGAGGTTCATCGGGTGCTCAAGGCCCCACTCTGGCCCCACTGCTCAGGAGTAAATTTCAGCCATGTATTCACAGTCATGAAGAATGAGAAGAGAAGCCTGGTACCGCTCTCCCTGGCTTTGCTGAGACGTTTGTCACGGCCAGCAGAGCTAATATAAACGCTGCTTACAATGTAACTCAGCCTATGGTGACACTAGCAGGCTTTTGCTGGTCTAGCTCTGTGGGTCAGGAGTGTGAAAAGCTGTGGCCCCTGACTGACAGTGCTGTGCCTGCAAAAGCCTCTAGCCTAGGTGCAGTTATGCTGACAAAACTGCCCTTTGCCGATAGTGTGTTTCGCTCACGGGGGTGGGGGCGTTGGGCTGAGCTATACCAGCAAAAGGGCAGAGAGTTGCTATTTTGATATATTCCCAAAGGGAGCACTTTGCCAACATTACTAAACCAGCCAAGCCTTCCAGTGTAGAGACAGCCTCACGCAGGACACAGATAACTCTAAACTTCACATGGGCTCACTTCACCCCACTTCTCTCGCCTGCCGCCTCTTTCCTTTCATTCTCCCCTATTTATTCCTCTGCCTCCGTCTCCCCTCCACAGCAGCAGCTCTCTCTTTCATTCGTGCTTCCCCTGGAACCATATCCCCCTCCCAGGAGCCACGACATTGCTTATAGCTTGTAAAAACCTTCCATTTTGTTTTAGCCCATAGCTGACACTAAATCCTCCCTCACCTTATTACGTTGACATCTCAGGCCATAACCACAAGTCTTTGGGAGCCAGTGTTTTCTGGTCATGTTCTCTGCCTTTTATTTCTAAAAGGAACAGCAAATTGATTTTTGATACCTTTCCTAGCTGAGGGGAATAGGGAGAGTTGAAATCTTTGTGTCAAGCTGTGTCACTGTCCTACAGTCCTCATCACCTGTCATCTGCATTTCAATTACATAACTGTTTCAACAACTAAGTGTCCGGAGATTCCTCAAACAGACCGGGATTTGACTGGCAAAGACAATGACAGCCCTCCAACAGCATAAACCACTGGAACGACTGCTCACAAACCATGCATGATTGGTCAACGGGGCTGGAAGCTAAACCCAGCCCTGACTTTGTGATGCCCGATTGCACACTAATCTCACAAAAGCAACGGAGCCATTTTGCAAAGAAAAATAAAAAGCCTCTTTAAAGTGGTCTCCAAAAACCTCAGCGTTTCCTTCCAAAAAAGAGCCAGCCAACTGAAGTAAAACATGTCCATAGCTTTCTGTTTGCTATTCTCAGCCTGCCTATGTTATAATTAAATACATGGGAAGCATCTTTCTTGGTCGTCAGTTCCTTTTACTTATTTTAGCTGGTTTGTCCTAAATACTTCAGTGTCTATTGCATGCTCTCCAACATGTGTACTCAATACTTATCCAGGGACAATAGTACACTGCTGCCACATACCTAGGTGTTGCAAATGAACACGTACAGCTTTACTGATTTTATTTAATTATTGGCTGAAGGGTGTTCATGAAAGTCAGGGACTAACAGCACTGAAAAGGATCAAGCACAGCACAAAGCTTCCATGCACCACGCTCCTAATCTGCATTATTCCAGCTACTCTCAGATCCCCCATCTCCACTGATTTCACAGGATTCTGTGGTTGTTGCCAGGGCAAGTCGGAGTTTGTTGAGTTCTAGCTCGCTCTTTGGGGTTTCAAGCTATGGCCCCAATCCAGCAAAGCACTTAAGCATGTGCTTAACTTTAAACCTGTGTTTGTCTGTCATAGGGTGACTGGCCCCTTTAAGAGAGAGCTGGGTCCAATGCAACTGTGACCGGTCACCTGTCTCCCAATGGGGCTTAAGAGAGGATATCTAGGCCATAGAGAGGGCTAGGAAGGGCCGGTGAAAGCTAAGAAGGAAAGAAGAGGCATACAGGAGCAGCTGGTGAGAGCTATGGGGAGTGAGCTCCAGGAGACAGCGTACTCCTGATGATGAGGATGGTACAGAGAGTTTAAAGTTGTTGGTGCAGACTGGCCAGTTGAGGAACCCTGCTGAGCTCCAGGAGGGCTCATGAGGAGGCCCCTGGGCAAAGGGGAGGAACTGGCTTGGTCAGGGGAAGCTGAGCCTGGAAACAAGAGGGCTGATGCTGGAGACAAGATCCCAGGAGCAGGGGTAGGACTCACAGGCAAGGGCGCCTGGAGAGTGGAATACTGTGGCGAGCTCTCTTTAAGAGCCCTGACTTGGCGGCTGTGGTAGCAAGTCATTGGTAACTCGCAGGTGGATGGGCTGGAGAGTGGAGCCCTAGAACAAAGGCAAAGAAACTGTGAACAGAGTGGAAACAGGCTCTCGGGTGGGGAGCCTGGAAATGATCTCCCTGGAGTGGGCACAGATAACTGCCATGACTGTCCCTGTTGTGCTTTGGGGTTTTGAGACAAGTTTTATCCTGAAAGTTCTGCGGCTTACTGAATGTGTACATGAATTAACTCTGCCTAGAGGTGGCTCTTTGAGTTGGACACTGAGAGACTTTATTCCTTTCTAAGGGGGAATGAAGGGGAAACTGAAGCAGCTGTCCAGTTTGCTAGTGGGGGGCGCTTTAAGGTGGAGGCCCCCCTGCTACAAAGTCCCACTGGAGTCAAGAACATGAAGCGGGTGCTTGAAGTTCAGTGCTTTGCTGAACCGGGGCCTGTGTCACTTCAGCGACACAAGAGTCCAGAAAGAGTGTTGAGAAAGTTTTGTAATAAAACCAAAGCCAAGCGTCTCTCAGCTCCGTTTGGGGTTTTGTAGAGAGTGCAACATTTGCTTATGTGAAGGAAAGTGTCACTGAGTCTTTCAGTAGATCTCAAAGGGGTGAACCCTCCCTGCTGGGCTTAGCCTGAATGGGCAAAATAGGGTCTTGCAGCATTGGTGGGGGCCAGAATATTCCTCTTGGCACTGTTCCTGTCCTGCTACCAGCCCACCCCTGTTCCTGTCCTGCTTCCAGCACCCCCTACTTTGGGACTGAGAGGGATGAATGCAAGGCGTGAAGCTCCCTTGCCCAGGCTCCTCAGAGCCTGCTCCCTCATGCACCAGTTATGCTGTATCTAGGGCCCTGTGGTACTGGGCTGGAGGGGCAGGATTCACCTCCACAGCAGCAGAGGTTGACTTGGTTTGGTGGTTCAACTTCCATCAGAAAATCAGCCCTCCCACAGGGATCCTTTGCCGCTAGTCACTTTCTGAGAGGAAGGGCCAGGGGGCTTTTAGCTCTGCATGTCTGTCAGCTAAAGAGGCTGGCCAGCTAATCAGCTCCCTCTGCCCACCTGACCGGATCCCTCTGCCCACCTCTTTGAGGATCATCCCTCACACAATCTCAAGTAAGTGGTGATAGAACCAGAAAACCTTCTTGGTGCTGTTGGATGATGGGCCCTTTAAGTTCTCACGGAGGCTAAGTAAACCCATACTGAAGTGTTGTTAGGAATCCTTGACCTTTAGGGTATGTCTACACTGCAATAAAAAAAACCTGGCACCCAGTCTCAGAAAGTCCGGGTCAGCTGACTCAGGCTCTTGGGGTTCAGGTTACAGGGCTAACAACAAGAGTGTAGATCAGGGCACGCATGCCTAAGGCAGCACACGAGCTGATTTTCAGTGGCACTCACACTGCCCAGGTCCTGGCCACCGATCCGGGGGCTCCGCTGCTGGCCTGGGGTACCAGCCACCGGCCCCCTGCCAGCTGGGGTTCTGTCCGCTGGCCCCACTCAGCCCACTGCCGGCCTGGGATCCTGGCCACCAGCCCGGGGCTCTGCAGCCGCCCCCAGCTGTGGCCCACTCACCCCAGCCTGGGGCAGTGAGGGGTGCAGACAGGGGCGAGAGGGGGCACAGCTCAGCACCCCCACCTTAAAAATTGCTCCAGAGCCACCGTACTG